TGAAAAACATATTTGCTGAAGTTATGAAGTAGCAACAAAAATAGTTTTATTGTTGAGGGTCACCACAACATGAGGAGCTGTATTAACTCTTTCAGGACATTTTGTCATTAATTTTAAGTGGAATTTTTATTACACGACAAAGCTAAAACCTTCCTGAAGAAAAAGTATTGGCTGTATCAGGACATTTAATATATCAAATAAAAGATAAATGAGTGCAGAATAAATCTAAACTATTTAAATATCAGTATAAAAAAAACAATATTATTCAAATCACACTACATTCAAGGATGTTTTACACATAAAAAATTATTGAAATAAAAAAATTGTCTGCTTACCCTATTTTTTTTTTTTACTTGTTCAGCAACACTGCTATCCGATTCTAAGAATGCACATGCCTTCTCTGTTCAATTATGTATTAGCTAGTCTTTATTTGAAACAATTATTTAAATACTTTTGATGTTATGATCATTTTTGTATGACATGTTAGATTTCACGACAACCGAAAATCAGGAAAACAGCTAATCGAAACATTGATCTGATTGAAATATTTTGTTAATTTTCATACCTTAAACTCAGTTTATCGCCAGTAGATTTGTCATAGATATCAATCATAATATCAATACTGTTGTCACCATCTGGCAGAGATTCATCAATGACAGAGCAGCATGAACAGTTCTAGACCTTTTCCCTTATCATTTAGTATAGAACAATCATGCAAAAATTGTATCCCATCTAAATAATTTTTTTAAGATCGGAAAATAATGCACCAACCATGATGAACTTCGCAAACAAAATAACTTCCTGTTGTTAATCCTTATTGTTAGAAAACTTGTTCTTAAAAGTTAGTTTTCCCCACAAATGGAACAAAATTAGAGTGTCTCTATCATACGCCAATATACTGGCGATATGTCCTTTAGTGATAGATTTATTCGCCAGTATACTGGCAATACTTCTTTAAAGAGTTCAAGAATCGCAGCATTAGGAAGGTTGAGAACCACTGCAATAAAGGATATGACAACCTGGCAAGAGTTGTTTAAGAACCTATGCTCCAGTGGGAAATAAAACACAAATGTAAAATACCTAAAGTAAACATTGTTTGTCATGTCTTTCTCTAATGCATATATAGTGTTTATCTTTTTCTTCCTTTATTAAATATAGTGAAATGTGATCAAATTTTAACACATTCTTTCCCAGTTGGTTTTTTCTCTATCAGTATATCTTAGATATAATTTTAAAGATTTGCCTTCCTGTTGTTACTATTAACTAAATTTTCTTACTGTTAACTTATGGCTTACTATTAACATGATGTTTTTAGTATCACCTATATGTTCTTACTTTTAACTATCAGCGATGTGTTCTTACTATTAAGTAGAGGTTTTAAGTGTCAACTATATGTTCATACTTTTAAATAGAGGTTTAAACTATCAACTATATGTTCTTACTATTAACTAGAGGTTTTTACTGTCAGCTATATTCTTACTATTAACTAGAAGTTTTAACTATCAACTAGATGTTCTTACTGTTAACTAGAGGTTTTGGCTGTCAACTAGAGGTTCCTACTGTCAACTAGAGATTCTGACTGTCAGCCCCTTCTGTCTAGGCGTAAATTATTTAACTCCATCTGACCATGACATGACTTTCATTACTTAAAGTAACAATCAGTGGGGACAGTTCTAGAAAATGTTTGTTGTTGTTGAGAAATAAGAGAATATAGAATGCTAGGTATGGAATTAGTAAAATGCCATTTGTTAATGTGTATTGATATGATGTTTTATTTATAAAACAATTTTCAGGTACAACACTGCAGATATTTCTATCGCTGTGGCCACAGACAATGGCCTCATAACTCCAATAGTTTTTAGTGCCGAGACAAAAGTAAGTGAATTTATGTTTCTAAAATCAAAGTAATGTTTTCCCGTTTTACCAGCTGCATTTACCTTTGTATGTGGCGGATGTTTGAATTTCAGTTAAAATGATTGTCTTCCGCTTATTTAATTATGTTTTTTTTTAAAAAATATATTGCATAAGTTGATCTTCATTTATTTGAGGTTGTTCTTGATGCCTTTGTTGTGCCCTTTCCCTTGCCCTGTGTCAATTATATTTCTTCAGTATAGATCTGTTTGGCAGTTGGTACCAGGACATTCTCGACAGATGGCCAAACCATCTCATCTGTTACTCATTAATGAAATTCATGACTGGCTTCAGTCCTGATAACTTTCTTTCCTGGATGTAAAGTTTTATAAAAGACTTTTTTCATGCGTGCTTAGCTTGAAGATTCAGTGGAGGAAATGTCAACAACCTTGGTATAATCCCAGTTAGACTGTATGTGCCCTGTGTGCCTTGCTTTTTCAAAATGGGTGATTTCTCTTATTGTTTTGTTCCCTTGTCATGGACTGCTATTTTGCATGTTTCTAGCCCAGGATACTGTGTTTTGTGTGTGTGTAGGAGCAGCATGTATTGTGGTTATGCTGTATTGGAGCGGGATGATGACTGATAGATTTGGCAGCCTCGACCACGCTCTGCTCACAATGTTTTGATCCTGGCGGTCCGCCCTCTAGGAAGACAGAATCTTGTTAGTGGGTGATCCACAAACTGTCTAGAGAGCAAACTCAGTAAAAGCTGTTCGCAGAAATAAATTGTGTCAACTTATGTGTGTGTGTAAAGGGGGGGGGGGGGGGGGGGGGATCGACACATACTGTGATCTCAGTCGTCAGGCCATAACCTATGCAGCTGCCTTGGAACAGGTCCCTTAGGGAGTACATTTGTGGATCAGGTGAAGATGGAAAAGATGATTGGGGAAATGTCTCACGAAACAAACCAGAAAAGCTAACCTTGAAAACAAGTGCTCAAAGAAGTCATAGTTTGCCACACAAATATCACAACTATACTATAAACAGGCACAACACAGTTATGTCTCTTGGAGAACAGTGAAGAAGACTCAGCCTGGTGGATCTGCTGCTCTATGTACCTCTATATATGTAAAGTTGCCTATCTTGCAAAGAATCTTACCTCTAGGATAATGTTTCCCTACTAATTACTGGATGCAATTTTAAAAATGTATTTTGTAAAATCAATTTGAAATTCACCTCATCTTACTGACATTATTATTATTATTCTATTGCCTTTTTTTTATTTTCTAGGGTCTGTCACAGATAGCTCAAGAAGTTGCCACTTTGGCTGCTAAAGCAAGAGAGGGAAAGCTGCAGCCTCAAGAATTTCAGGTAGCATTTTTTTTGCTGCTTTATCAAGTGGTTTTGCATTCTCGTAAAAGTGCTGCAAAAAGGGGAAAAAACACTACCAGCACAGGCGCTACAACTAAAAAGGGATTGGGCATGTGGGAAAATTTTCATCACAGTCATAAATATAATTAACACAGGGTGAGGGGAAGAACACAAAAAAGGCACCAAGAACATCCTCAGAATTTGTTTTAACAATGTTTTACTGTATTTTAGCACTACACTTAAAACGAACACAATTTTGGTTCAACCAGGGATGTGTCAGTTTAGCACACTCTTGATTTGTTGTTTGCTACCTTGGAATTTGTATTAGTGAGGTTTCACTGTAGTGTCTTCACAAGAAATCCATTTTGGGGGTTTCTGTTGATGTTTTTTGAGAGCTCTTAATGATTCACTGATAGCTTTGCATGTGTACTGATAAATGTTCAACTTGCAGTTGATGAAGTATATGGTCTTGAATGATAAAAAAATGTATAAAATAATTTTTTTTTAAAGGGCACCTGAGGCTGAAAGATAGAACAGGACTACAGAAAAAGAAGAAGTAAAAAAGAAAAGGTCCCTTACACATCATAGGCCGATTGGGCATGTGGGCACATTTCTATCATAGTCAAGGATGGGAGTGACAGTTTGTTGGAGATCCAGATCCCAGGTCTGGCTTGTTGGTATTCCAAAGGAAACCAAGCTGTGTGAAACCGTGGAAGACATGTGTCGTACGGGAGACTTCATAGAGGCCTTGGCCTTGTCGTCTGAACACCAGTGGGCATGGAGAATGAAAAGAAGAAGAAGACCATGGAGGTGGCACCTGATTGATTCATTGAAGTGTGAAAGAACTGCTGTGCTAGTGCATCTTGTGTACTTTAAATTAGCTGTCAGCATGCGACCCCCTGGGCAACAGCTTTGACAGGCTGGCTAAACCAGTAGAGGGTGGCCAATCAGCCCAAACTAATCAGTGAGTTGGGGGGAAGCCTACCCAGCATGCAAAGTCTGGATTTGTCAGACTGTGTGGATGAAACCACCTTGGTTCAGCAGACAACAAGATGACTACCAGCAATCTCTGTAGAGAACCTTCAGCACGGCAAGGCACCAAAGTAGCCCTGGTCATCTGCTGCACCCAAGTTCATCTCCAGACGTCTTGATTCCTCTTGCCACTGGACTTAGATTGACTTAGGCGAGAGAGTGAGGTCGACGAATTGCGCAACTCTTCCTCACTTAAATCAAAATCACCTTGCAAGTCATCCTTTCATACATCCCTCAACCTTTATCACCAAGCTGGTGAGCTACTAAAAGGAAAACGCTCTCAAGGTGGACAGAAGAAATGTTTCAAGCACAGCCTCAAGACCTCCCTGAAAGACTTCTGTATTGATCCTAAAACCTGGAAAGTTGCTGCATGTGACCGCTCATCCTGGTGCTTCTCTCTTCATCGAGGAGTTATGGCCCATAAAGCTGCTAGAACTGCAGGAGCAATCACAAGAGACAAGCCAGGAAAGACACTGATGCAAATCACCGGAGAGATGCGGCTTCAGTCCCTAGTGAATGAAAGGACTGGTCGTCATCACCTGTGATGGATGAACTACAACAACTTTGAAATATATTTGACACAGATGATCTTGTGCACAATATCAAATTGTCCAGCATCTGCTCTATTAGCCTCTTGTTTTTGTTTTCCTCCAAGTTGCCGCATTAAGATGTACTCCACTTTTTCTCCTTTTCATGTCACACTAAATCTCAGATAGAAGAGTTGTACGACAGTCACAGCAGTAGACATTTTTTGGATTTTTTAAAATTCAGCATACATTATTGAAAATCTTTTGCTCTATATATGTTTGAGTTATTGGGCGTCTTTATTTCATTAATAGCAGTGTCAACATTTGATATCTTTTGTTTTTAAATATCTGTTTTATGTCATGTTTGTTCATTTATACATATTTTCTGTACCTGAAAATACACTTCTGTTTCTGTGTTATGTCTGCTTGTTTGTACACATCATTTTCTTTTGCTGAAAATGCACTTCTGTTCCATTTTTATGTCTGACTGTTCTTTTGCGCATATCATCTTATTTAGCTAAAAATTGCTTCTGTTCCAGGGAGGCACATTTACAATTTCAAATTTGGGCATGCTTGGTGTGAAGAGTTTCTCTGCTGTGATTAACCCGCCACAGGTTAGTTTGTTTGCATGTGTCTTGTTTGGGAAGAGAAGTGTGTGTTTGTTGATGCATTTTATCCACAACTGCTCACTCACTGTCTCTGACTTCACACACTCGCTCTTATTTTACATGCTCACACACTGACTCTGTCTCTTCATCCACTCACTTCACATACCCCCTGTCTCACTTTATTCACAATCTTGTCTATCTGTCTCTGTCTCTCTCACTCTCTCTTACACACACACACACTCGCACACACACTGGCTGGCTGACTGACTGCCTGGACTTTTCTCGCTCTCTGTATCCTTTCACTTACTTTTTTCAACCACTCTCTCACTCACTCACACTTGTTCCGTTACCTGTCAGAAATGTTACTTTTTAAGAGGGATGTAGATGTACTGAACCACATGCTATAGTGCACCAGGATGTAAGGCTCATACTGACCAAGACCTGTGTGCATCTTTTCACGGACATACTAGAAAGGGGTTCCAGTCGGGAACCTGACCAACATACATAGGACCAGCATTTTCTTCAGAGTTGGACTACATCTGTCTGCCTCAGAGGCAAGTAATGCAGCAGTCAAGTCGTAGAAGAAGACCAAACTCTAGAACTGTACGAACAACCAGGACTTTGCGTTTGAGTTTACGGCCATTGGGCATGAAAAAACAGTAATGCGTTGATGAATTTTAATCATGGGTATTTCTTTATTGCCATCATCTGCAAAACCTTCTGGTACTGAAAAAGTTAAGAAGGTAAAGGTAGAATATCACAAGCAAAGATAGCATTTCACACATGAAAACACCATGGGGGGGGGGGAGGGATGTCGGGGTCTGTGGTTTAGGCTTTGAGGAAGCTTTGTTGTGCCGGGTTCGCCCTACTGCAGTTGATTGTCCTGCGCTGGTTTCAACAGTGGTACCGAGAGTTGACTGTTTAGAAGAGAGGCAAACTACCGAACGTAAAATTTGCCTTGAAAAAACAAAACAGCCAATAAATGCTGGGGTTGATTCTGCACTGTCCTGTAAAGAATATGCAGCCAACTTTGTTTATGGGGAAAAAAAAGACTGTTTAAGATAACTAACATACTTGTTTGTTAGGAGTTTTAGAATGTTGATCTTCATTTTTGCTGGAAGTGTCAAGTATGAACAGCCTGTGTTATCATCCTCAGGCGTGTATCTTGGCTGTGGGAGGTGCTGAGAAGAAAGTACTTGTGGATGAAACATCCCAGTCGGGGTAAGCCAATTTGCAACATAGTTACATGGTATACTGGCATTGTTACATGGTACCAGTGCTGGATTTAGGCATAAGCTGACTAAGCTACAGCTTAGGGCGTCACAATCCAAAGAAGCCTTTTTTTCACCACAATGCAATTTTGTTTTGATATATTTAACACACACACATACACACTATGGAGCCAGATTATTGGTCTTCCGCACTAAACGGGGAGTGCCTAGGGTGAGGATCCCACTAAGGTATTCACAATCGTGGAAAGATTTTAAAAATATTTGTTTTGGTATAAGCTTAAGCTTTTATTTAGTCTAACTTGTAGTTTATTTAAATTGAAAAAAATAATCAGCTTGATATGCGTCAACTTCCACCTTTTATTAACTTATATATTTTAAAGTTTTCGTAGATTTACTGGTGTAACTTTAAATGGTAGGGGCCCCAAAGCCTAATATGCTTAGGGCCTCATAAAATGTAAATCCAGCCCTTTTTTGTAGACATGACATGTGAAATAGTAGGTAGGAGTTGTTACATGGTAAAAATCTGTGCCATAAATAATTAAAAGTACACAAGACGGAAGGTTGAAGATAGATATGACTACCAGCACCACACACCATGGATAAATAAGAATGTCATTAGTCTGGGAATGAAGCTTGTATTTCACATCATTATCCAATTCAGTCTGTTACATCAAAGGTTGGCAGTGACAAATCTCCAGCAGTTTCTTTCGTGATTCTTTATAGACAGTGATTTTCTTCTATCGTAATAGAGCTTCAATATCCCTGTGTAGGTTCCAGGACATATGAGTGAGGAGGGGGGGGGGGTGGTAGAATTGGCCCACTGCTTCCCTACCAAACATGTCATAAAAGACTACTAATTAGGTTTTTTTTTTAGTTTGAAGCTGAAGTGTATCTGCCTGAGAGGTCAGAAACCAACAGCCTGCATAGAAATAAGCCAGATCTGTGAAATATATGTGCATGCAGAACTCAAAGTTTTGGAACAAGATTAAAGTTCAGTAGAAGGTGAAGAACCATAACTTTCTGCTAGGGTTTACGGTTTACAGTCAGTGAGTGCTAAAAAAAAAAGACTGTTTTTGGCTTTGTGAATGAACAATCTATAAGTCACGGTTAAGCCACATATTTATCATGCAACTGTGCCCTGTAGCGTGAAAACAAAGCAGACATCTAAAAGATGGTGGTGGCAAGCTTCTGAACCAGAAGATTTCACGACCATCCATTGGGTGAGGATAAAGTTGTCTAGAGTTGTTGTAGCATTTTGGAGTTTTTCAATTTCTGTAGTTTTCATTTTGATACAAACCTATTGTAATATCTTCAATGTGCTGTTTTCTCACTCCCCCTTTCTTGTATACAGTTCTCCCTGTGTTGGTTCTGGGCCCCATTTTGATGAAGGGAGAAGAATAGACCTACTGCCCTCTGCCCCCCTCCCCCCTTCTTGTATACAGTTCTCCCTGTGTTGGTTCTGGGCCCCATTTTGATGGAGGGAGAAGAATAGACCTACTGTCCTCTGCCCCCCCCCCCCCCCCCCTGTGTTGGTTTCCCATTTTAATGGAGGGAAAGCATAGACCTCGTAAAGAAAGTCGGCTGATTAAGGGCGTTTTCTTCAACGTCTTCAGAGAAAGAGTGCATCTGTCTGAGAGGCAAGGAACCAACAGTCTGCATACAAATAAGCCACATCTGTAAAGTAGATATGCATGCAAAACTCAAGTTTTGGAACAAGACTAAAGTGCAGAAGTGAATAAGCGACCATGACTTTACACTGGTGTTTACAGCTGATGAGCCTGGGGGTTTGTAGCAAAAACCAAGTGGAAAATGTTTAGTGCAAGACAGCCTAGCATATGACACCACAACATCTAGCATGAGAGTGGAGGCAGTAACTGCAACTCTCCGGTGGCTAGAGAACAAGATGCATACACATGTCGTGATTGTAACAGACTCTGAAAGCTTGCTGAATAAGGTGAGGAAAGGGATGCTTTGAGCAAAGTGGCAAGCTTCACTGGAAAGGTCACGGGTGGTGAGCATACTTTGGACCTTTTCTCCAGGCCATGCAGGGAGGGGGGTGTAATGAACAGGCAGACAGATTGGCTGGATTTGCATCACTGGGTGGTTAATTGATACACGACAAGGCAGATGTGATCAAGACCCTTTGGGAACAAGCAACAGAATTAGTGAGAAAGAAGATTATTATGGCTTGGAGAGAATAAGGCATCTGTGTGTAACCAGGGGGTCTGGCCGGCTCATTGCACTCAGAGGAAAGGCAAGATGGACATATAACCAGACTGTGACTGGAACCATCAGTAATTTCAAGTCTGCACTAGCTGCTGAAGATAAGAATAGAGCATGCATGGGAATGCCCCAAGTGCTGTGATGTCGGTTCTTGATTCAGCTCAACTCCACTTACAGCCGATGAATGCTAAAAAGTAGAAGAGATGGGAAAAGAGCAAGAGGGAGACCATAAATAGTTATATGGCTTGATCAAATGGCATTGGGGGGGGGGGGGGGGGGGGGGGGGGCAAGATCACAAAGCTGATTAGTAACTGCAGTCATCAGTGATCAAATGCAACGAGCATAATCATGGAAGGGAGCCGCCGTGGTCTAGCAGCTAGATGCTTGCCTGCGGATCGGAAGGTCGTGGGCTCGGTTCCTGGCAGGGGCCCAACTCTTTTTCTTCTTTCAAAATGACCTTTGCCATCAGGTTGACCCAGTCTTGAGTGGGTACCAGGTGCAGTCCTGGGAAGTAAAGGCGGCCGGCGTGATGCTGACCACATCACCCACTAAGTGTCGTTTGGTCTATAAAATATAAGGTCTGGCCCTATATACCCAAAACATCTGAAAGGCGTGGAAAAGGCTCCTTTACTTTTATAATCATGGATGGTGGATTTGTGAGGATAGCGTTAAGTGCTTATTATCTGAATTTGGCTGTTATACAGTATATTGCAGGACTGTCAGTTCCCCCTCTTCATCCTTCTTCTTCTGCCCATTATCTTCCAAATGGAGCATAGGTCTTCAAGCAACCAATTCCAAGTTATTCTGTTTGTTGGCTTCATCAGGCAGCTACCCCCATGCTCCTACCATTGTTCTGTCACTTTACTTTCCACATCCTTTCTCTGTGTGTTTGTTTTGTTTACCTTGATTCATTTGACCCTGTGAGTTCCAGTGCAAAAACTTACGGTGCTTTATTAATATCCTACCCCAAACCGGGGAAATCCACAGGTCACAGGACAATCTAATATTTCAGGGGGTGATAGATAGGCTGCATGCAGTCGTGGGACCTAGGCTGCACTCTCTCGTGGAACGTAGGTGGGTTGGGGTTTGCGCCAGTTCTAGATGTTTTGGGTCGTTACACGCATCAGAAAGCCGGGAAACCCAGTCTTACTACTCTCTAAAATGTTAAACTGTCCTGTGGCGTCATCTGGGGTAGGATATTAATAAAACACCAAACATTCTAGTTTTATTGCTATCAGGCCTTGTCCAGTTATGTTGTGTTTTTACAGCCATAATGCAATATTTTTGGTATGCTTCGTGTCACAAAGGTGCTATTGTAGTATATCCATTCTGTAGTGCAAGTTTTCTTTTGTTCATGGTGGTTTTCCTTATTTGATGTTGATGTGGTTTTATTTCTTTAAGTGTTAGAATTATTTTCTTTCTTTTTCTATGTGCAGTTACATAAAGTGATTTCCTGTTGTCTTTATATTTGTAGTTGCAAAGAGTGGTTGTTGTCTTTAGGTATATTTAGTTACACAGAATAATTTTCCATCTGTATGTTGCTGTGTTGTTGGCTGTTTTTTTTTTTTCTTTATGTCAGTTTTCTTTCTCTTAAAAAAAAAAAATTAATATATTTGATGTTACACAGATTATTTTTCTTTGGTTGCACACTTTAAAGTTGCTTTTGTTGGCTTTAGAAAATGTAGAGAAATTACACGTAGACAATCAATGTGTTGTGGACATGTTATGAAAAGAAATAAAGTTGAAAATGGAAGGATAGACCCACTCTAATTTGGGGTGTTTTCTTTGAAGCAAGAATGAATCTGCCTGAGAGGCGAGCAACCGCCAGCATGCATAAAAATAAATCAAATCTGTAAAAACGGATTTGAGTGCAAAACTCAAGTTCTGAAAGAAGACTAAAATCCAAAAGTGGACAAACAACCCGAAATTTCCTCTAAAGTTTACAGCCCGTGAAGAAGAAGGAAATAGAGGGAACAGACTTGAGAACTTGGTGACAACTAGCAAAACTGATAGAAAAGAGAGCAGGTATTGAGCAGGGGGAAGACAGAGAGATAAAATGCCTGAATGACTGGGCCACATGGCATTGGCCAGACAAGAGCACAGACCTGCTTATGCCTTTCCAGATGACACATGATAGTGATGTTAGCTGTTTTTAAATGTTCAGATTCGCGTAAATTGATCGTCTTTCATTAGGCCTTAGACGTGACACAGTTTGAGCATTTGTTTGTTGTTAGAGTTTTTTGGTTACATTTCTAGATTACAAGTTTATATTCCTCATTTCATGATTCTTGCATTTGAAATATCTTGGTCACATTAAAAGGCATAACATTCTATTAAAGATGATACTGGAAGGAAATATCGAGGGCAAGAGGTAGACAATGATACACATGGAAGGACAAACAGCAGACTGAAAGAGTGCCAACAAGCATAAAAGACAGAGAATGGTGAAGATCTTTTGCAGCCAACCTTCATTGTAGAGACAGCATCTGATTGATGGATTCATCATTCTTGAATACCACAATCCCAGTATGGGTCCCAGGACCCCGTATTTGTGGGGGGGGGGGGGGGGTGGGGGGGGGAGTAGACCCTCCGCCAGCTAACAAGCATGTCATAAGAAGTGACTGATTAGGGGTTTCCTGAGAAAGGATCGACTCTATTGCATTGGGGTTCATCTTCATTCACTTACCCCACTTTTTGTGGGAAGATGTAAGGATTTCCTATGTGCGTTTATGAATGTGTTCTGTAAGTTGGTCTTCATTTCCTTCAGTGATTAGAAAGGATTATCATCACAGCACTCCGGACAGATTTCCTTAAGGCTGTTCTTGATGCCGTCGTTACATATTTTGCATGATCTTCCTATTGCTGTGTGACCATTATATTTCTTCAGCCTGGCTCTCTGTGGCATTGAGGGGCCATGTTAACACAGTCGATAGGAGACTCGCTTTCAAATCCAGCTGTGACTTGCTGCAGCCCGTGGCCAGTGTTCAAAACCAGGTGATTCCCGGGTTAACCCAGCTTCTAGATAATGGGTACCGAAGTTAACACCCTGGGGTAAATGGGGGAACATCACTATTGCTACGGAGTTTCGTGCGGGGGGGGGGGGGGGGGGAAACAGGCGGACATTTTCTTGTTAGCTGTCCGTACTGGTGGCAGAGCACTTATTTATAACCATGTGCAGTTGATGCTGGTTCACATCCCCCGACTTTACCTTTGTTATCTCTGTGGCATTTGGTGCCAGGTCATTCTCGTCAGATGGCTAAACCATTGCATCTGTTGCTCTTCCCTTTGTGGGGTCAGGTGGCCTGTTTAGCGGGGAGGAAAAAAAACATGCCCCCAACAAGCTTTGACATAAAAGACATAAGAGGTTTTCTGAAATCTAATATTTTGAGCCAAAATTCTCAGATTTAGCTGCCTAGCTGTAAACCGCAACACAACATGTCAGCTGCCCTTTAAAAATAAGCGCAGAAGAAGAAGATTTGGTTGCTCTTTAATGAATTATATCACGGTTCCATGCACCGACTAAACTTTGTGACCCATTCTCTTTCATTTCAGATTCAAGTCTGCCCATGTGATGAGCGTTACTCTGAGTTGTGATCACCGTGTGGTGGACGGCGCTGTCGGAGCTCAGTGGTTGACTGAATTTAAAACTTTAATGGAAAAACCAGAATCTATGCTGTTGTAATGCTGGATGGGAAAGCTAGGGGACATATAACAAGTGCTGTGTGTTTGTCATCTTTGATGGTGAAATCTTTGTTCAGCCTTTTTAAAACTGGATATTATAATTATTGTTGTTGAACATATGGATGTATCCTGGCAGAGTTCATGTATAATATGACATTGTACAGCGTTTGATTTTGTGATTATTTCAGTGTGTCAGCCGCACAAGATGTAGAACTGGCTAAGACTAGTATATCCAAAACCTGTGATTGTCATACATGTTTAACTTTTGGTACAAGTCTCAGTACTTCCTTCAAAGTAAATAACTTTAGGCAACAGTAGGGTAGGGTGCCTCACTATAGCTGTTTTATAAGAGTAAACAAGGTTTATCAAAGTTGCTCCAGTTAGCATTAAAGCATGCATATGTTGAACAACCATCTGAGTTTAAATATCTTGGAACAACATTCACTGAAGGTGGTAAATTGGATGAAGAAATTGGCATCTGATGCAGTAAAGCAGGCCAAGTATTGGGACAGCTAGTCCCTCTTACAGCATAAGGCAATCCCAATCAGCTCAAAACAAAGAGACATCTCAAACAAAGTATATTCATTCCCACCCTATGCTACCAGTGCCAGGCGTGGTCACTCACAACAACAACATAAAAGAAAATTAGTAACCATGGAAATGAGGTGTTTGAGAAAGACTTAGGAGTGTCCAGAAGAGATAAATCAACAATGAGGTTATATGAGATAAAGTCGGCACAGAACCAGTTCTGAATTACATACAAAGACAACAAAACAATGGATTTGCCCACTTGGAGAGAATGCCTTCTGATGCTATACCACACGAGGCATATAACAAAATAGTAGGGGACGTAAAACAAGAACAAGATGGGAAGATAACATCAGAGAAGCTCTACAGCACCACGTTGTGTCCATGGTTGAAGCAGCCAGAAGAGCACGAAGCAAGACCTTATATCTCCCTTGACATCTGAAGCAGTAACAAGAAGCTCCAGTTGGCTGTACATCCTATCAGTCTCTTTAAAACACTGAAGCAATCCTTCAGGTTGCAAGCCCAACTAGGAAATACCAGAAAAGAGAGCACTAGAAAGCTGTACTGCTGATGCTTCAAGAGAGGATACAAACCCACTGTGAAAGTATCATGGTTGCATTTATTTGAAAGTGTTCCCTGGAAAAACCAGATTTCTTTAAAATTTCCAGACCAGATGTAAGAAGAATGACAACACATTACAAGATAGGTGGGATTCTTGTGACAGAGCACATCACACAGGACTTGAATTGTTAAAAATACTTTTTCATTGCCACTTTATGGTTCTTGTGGTAATTTATCTTCTGCACTTAGTTGTAGTTTTACCCATAAGCAGATTGCTTGATTTGAGGATGCTTATGAACTTGGGGTCATGACAGAGGTTAACGTGACAGGAAACGTGAGAATAAACTGTTTGTATAATTGTTGTTTTCTCCTTTGTTTAGTCTTTTTGTTTTTAGCAGTAGTATTGAATGTGTTCTATGAATCTTACAGTATTAAGATGACTTTTTGTTTCAACATGTTTTACAATTGGTAAGGTGTAGTTTGTTCATCGTGCTTGTGTTATCGGGGCCTAAAGGGTAATGGCATCCCACAGTCCCTACGGACTATAGAGACGTGCCGCTGGCTTTAGGAACAGCATCTGCTGTTACTGTAAAGTCCGATGTGGGAGTGACAGTCTCTGCCACTCAGGATACACACAAAAGTTAGAGACTCCCTCGCTATGAGGCTGCTTTACTCTCTGGCCTCTCCTCTCTATACCTCGCAGCGTTTGGCTTCTTTCAAAGTGCAACAAACTGTCTTTCACTTTCTGTCACCATAGTAGATCTGCAGCTGATTTCTCCAAGTCTCTGTGCCTATGTTGGTGTCTATCAGGTCACATTTGCATATGTCTTTATAACGTAGCTCTGGCCTTCTTTTAGGTCTATTTCTTATTTCCAGTTCAACATACAGAAGGTCCTTTTGAAAACGACCATCCTCCATGCGGGTGACATGCCCCAGCTAGCGCAGAGGTCTTTGCTTCAGTAGACAGTACATTGAAAGTATTTCTGCTCTTGTGAGTACACATTCGTTGGAGATAAGATCGCGCCATGATATGCCAAGGATGGACCTCACACAGCACATGTGGAAGATATTCAGTCTCTTCTTGAAGAGCAATAGAGTCCAGGATTCGCTACCGCACAGTAGCGTGCTCAAGACACATACGTGTAGCAGAAAATACCACAGTCAGTGACTTACTACACCAGCAGCGGCTGTAACATAATGGCCAGATGGTCACCTGCCAGGCAAAAGGTCTTTGATTGAACTCTTTCATTCCCATAAGGTCCTAGCTGATGTGTAAGGGACACAATAATGCAAACAACAAACTCATAGGGGTACTACTTCTGCAGGGATTACATGCTAACCCTTTTGCAGAAAGCAACTAAATTGTGGGAGTTCTCTACAGTCAATGACTAAACATAAGATGTTCTTCTTCTTATGTTCGCTTTCTGATTTACACCGACAGATAAGTTCGTGTGATAAACGTGATAGTGTTTGGAGTTCTCTTTTAGTTCCATACAACTTTGAGTGCAGTGTTGACTCATTGGGCCAGTATTCTCTTCTTAATGGACTGTACTACATTTCGCACAAGGGCACCAGTGTGAACAACTAGACGAAGCCCGGTAAAGCTTGTTATGTCTTATCCTCGGGCATATAATAATGACCTGCCCATGCCGGTCAAGTAAGTGGTAGTCATCTCTGGCCAGATTCTGTTCACTTCTGATAGACTGGATGGCCTTTTTCTTCTCATGGTATGTTACTGCATTCTCTTCCTGTTCACATTCTGCCCCTTTCTTAGCAAGTTTGCATGTGATTTCCTAATGTACCACCCACTGGAGTACAAAACACTATATGTAACATAACATATTCATTGGCCTTTAAAAATATCCAGTCACACCTGATTCATTGTTTGGGACAGAATCAGCTAAATTTGCATTGAGTCGGGACTGGAAAAAAAAAACACATTACCTTGGCTCCCGGATTGACCCAGTCTTAAAAGGGCACCAGGTAAAATGAGGCCGGTATGTTGTTGACCATTCACTTATCTAGTGTCCACTGGTCTATACAAATGTGGCTAACATCATATTCCTGATGCCCCTGTGGTACCAGAAAGGGTTGTTCGTTAATTGTTGTCGTAGACGACGAAAGGTGCGGTGACATGGACTCGGTGCTTTCAGGTAGCCTTTTTCTTCTTTTTAGCATTTACCAGCTGTAAAAGTTCTGATCCACTTCTTGACTTTGATATCCTTCTAGAACTTGAGTTTTGCATACACATCCATTTTACAGACCTAGCTTTGTAAGCAATTTGTTGGTTCCTTGCCTCTAAGTTAGGTGCACTCTGACCTAAGGATACATCCCTAATCATTAGACTGTTTACGACATGCTTGGGGGGGGGGGGGGGCACAGTGGATCTGTTCTTCCCCCCAACTGTGGGACACCGGCACCCACACAGTGGATCTGTTCTTCCCCCCCCCCAACTGTGGGACACCGGCACCCACACAGTGGATCTGTTCTTCCCCCCAACTGTGGGACAACCGGGCACCCACACAGTGGATCTGTTCTTCCCCCCCCCCAACTGTGGACACCGAGCACCCACACAGTGGATCTGTTCTACTCCCCCCAACTGTGGGACACCGGCACCCACACAGTGGATCTGTTCTTCCCCCCAACTGTGGGACACCGGCACCCACACAGTGGATCTGTTCTTCCCCCCAACTGTGGGACACCGGCACCCACACAGTGGATCTGTTCTTCCCCCCAACTGGTTCCCGGCACCCACACAGTGGATCTGTTCTTCCCCCCAAGTGGGACACCGGCACCCACACAGTGGATCTGTTCTCCCCCCAACTGTGGGACACCGGACCCACACAGTACCCCCCAACTGTGGGACACCGTACCCACACAGTGGATCTGTTTCTTCCCCCCAACTTTGGGGCAACGTGGATCTGTTTCTTCCCCCAACTGTGGGACACCAGGTGGATCTGTTCTTCCCCCCAACTGTGGGACACCGGCACCCACACAGTGGATCTGTTCTTCCCCCCAACTGTGGGACACCGGCACCCACACAGTGGATCTGTTCTTCCCCCCAACTGTGGGACACCAGCACCCACACAGGGAATTTCGGGCAGTTAGGACCAGGAAGAATAATTTCCTTTGGTTTCAAGATGTAAGTTAAAAGTGAGTATGGTAACCACAAACAAATGGTGTGGTCACAGCTATTTGAATCGGGTTTTATGAATATACAACGTTGTTGTTATTGTCACATGATCCAGCTGTTATTGGTAAAGATAGATCTTTGAGTTATCAGAGGAAAATGGTGCTTCAGGAAGTTACCAGGAGATCTAGCCTATGCTCAGCACCCAACGAAAAGGCAAGACGGATGAACTGTCAGACAGTTACTGGTGCTATCAGAATTGGAACTCATCGTTTGCTGCTAAAGACGGGGATAAAGTGCTTATGGGAGTGTCTCGAATGCTATGATGTCGATTCCTAATTCAACATTTAATATATTCTTTCAATTCTCAATGCTGCCTCTTGGAAGCCACGTCTTTTAGCTCAAATCATTGTAGATAGTACTGGGTAGTGATGGTTGATTGTTCCATGAACATAGTATGATGTTTTATGTAATTTCTTTAACGGATTTACTTCCAACTTGCGTTCATGTTGCAATAGTAAAATATTCATAATGTCAGGTAATAAAAGAGTAATATAGAATTCAGCAGTGTTTTTAATTTGCAGTCTTTTATTGGTGAATTTTGCAAATGTTCAGACTTAATCAAATGTGTATTTGTGTAGTAAGTCATATTTTTGTGTTTGTGTCTTTGCCATCTGTTTCTGTTACCTCCTCGCATACCTGTCTGTCTACCTCCCCGCATACCTGTCTGTCTACCTCCCCACATACCTGTCTACCTCCCCACATACCTGTCTGTCTACCTC